GGGACATAATGACCTGGGTTATAAAATGCTCCATCAAGCGATCTGGACTGGCGAATCGCTAGGCTTAATTGGCCCTAAAGTCTTCAAGTTCAGCTCTGGACAGCTCACGGATGATATGGATGTTTCCATCAAGCGGACCGCCTGGGGCTTGTTCCATATAGACACGTAAGTCATCTGATCGTACCGGAAGAGTAGCTCTCATATTGCGGCTAGCGTTGTCCATACCGACTTCTTAAGACCGAGTCTAATAGACAAAGTCAACTTGGAACGGCCTGACAGAACTCGAATGGATGAAACCACCCTATGGGTACCGTATCCTTCCCATCGTGCTCCACGGCCGTCCCTTCTGAGTCAGTACTTTGACGAGTCATGCAATCTGTGTGAGATTGCCCGTGATATATCACAGCAACTATATGCGATCAATGGTTCCTCTTTCTCTGCATACCATCAACGCCGCACTAAGGAGGCACTGTATGAGAGGCTTCGTCGATGGCATCAGGGGTTACCGGATTCTTTCAACCCAGATCACAAACCACCGCCATATATTATATTGCTAAGGTACGCCTCACTTATATCGTTCGTTGAATATATTGAGCACGGCAGACTAATTGTTACATTAGGATGAGGTATCATACTTTGACCATCAATCTATTTTCGTGGAGGCCCGGGGACGATGTGTCGAGTATCGATTCCGAGGCTCCTAAAACGCCCGAGAGCCCACCGGGCCTTAGCCCACCACGTTCGAAGTTCGATGCTCTGGAGAATATCCTGTCTTCGGCGCGTGCTATTTCCGCCTTGACTCGTCTCTATCGGCGGGAATATGGCGTGAGCCGTGCACATCACTTTGCGCTGTATGCCATCAATTTGGCTCTGTTTACGATGCTAGATCATGACAGTTTTGACATTTTGGATCAAGACTTCCTATCATTGACGAGCGCCTTCATTAGTTTAGCCAGCCGTTCTCAGCTAGGAAGGAATCTCTTCCATCTGTTCCGACAATCTGTCCTGACTAAAGGCCAGGGGCAGCGGGCCTCGAGCTCTAGTACTGTCAATGATGAACTGAAGTCTTTATTCACTGAAGATATCTCATCGCCATCTCGATGGGATGGTTACGCAAAGGGACTGGAGAAGCTGAATGAAGATGAACGATACCATGGCATCCCAGGAGAGGGAGATCACACACTCTTCGACATGCTCGATTGTTATGAGAGCTTGAGCTTAGGGAAAGATGAAGTAGCACCGGAGAGGTTCCGACCAGAGACACGATAGATAGCAACTTTGCGGTCGACCTGGGCGGAATGTCCAGACCAAGAACTACATATATCTTGTACTTGGAGCTTGTACAGTATCTACTAGCTTGTTTATTCATATCTTAACCATGGATATCCTCGTTTCAGCATGTCTACCGCCTATATCACTCTACATCTAGTCTAGTTGTATATGTAGTTGATTTTCCTCTTCCCGTGATCTTCGGGTGGTGACATCATTGGCTGTCATCTCCCGTTGGACTACATCATCCTCTCTTAAAGCTTATGGGTCGAGCCAGTCAAGGCCATTGCGGTCCGTGCCTTGTTACCGAGGACCTGAAAAGCCCTGCAGAACGAATGCTGTTCATCTATCGCTATGAGACAAATACATAGTCGCCGTTTACGGGTCATATCGGCCACTGCGTCATCTCTCAATGGAGAATAACCCTCAACCGTATTATTACAGCCTGCCGGCCGGCGAGGAGAGCATTCGAAGCACAGGGCTCGATCCCTCGGTGCTTCAGTCTTCTGACTGGTTTTGGGGCTCGGTGCCTGTCAGTCCTGGTAGCTTCCCGCCGACGAGCTTCAACCCCTACGCCATACCGCCGTACACGGACCGACCTCCGTTTCCAAACCAGCAATCGTCCAGATCGTCCTCTTCACGAGAGATCCCAAAGGTGGCTATTCCACGGACTGCAGGTGTCAGTGGTCAGTCCCAGCGTCGCCGATCCGCGCGCGCTTGCGAACCTTGTCGTCAGCGGAAAATCAAATGCGATGGAAACAAGCCGGCCTGTAAGCAATGTGTGGAGCACAACGTGAGCTGTTCCTATCTAGATGCGAAACGAGTCCGGGATCAGAAACAGCTTGGGGTGCTAGCGAAGAAGGTCCAGCGTTATGAGAAGCTACTGGAAGGGATTGAGCTAGAAGTTGAAGGTGCTCTCGCAAGGCGGATCAGAAAGAGCTTACAGGTTTGTAACACCTCCTGTATACCACCGTCAATTTGTTGGCCTGGTTTGAGGAATAGAATAGCGTATTAACAAGTGCAGGGCTCTGAGGCATCATCTGCAGACGATGATGCCTCTGACTCAGGCGACGAAACCTCATCGATTGGATCCTTGGATGAGATTGATCTGATAGATGAGGATTTAAATCGGGATGAGAAGTCGATAGCCACGGGATTCTTTGGCAAGAACTCTGAGATATACTGGATGCAGAGGCTGGAGGATGAGATCGAAGGCCGTAGTCAAGGCCTCGATGACTCGGGCATGGCGCCGGATCAAGCTACTTCTATGCAGGAACAGAAGCACGACGTCCCCAGTACAACAGTAAGCTATCATCTGGACGACCTACAACTCCCATTAATGGATTGCGTGGATGCATACGCGCTGCCACCAAAAGAGCTAGCAGACCAGTTCTTTAACGTATTTATGGAGTCTGTGCATCCGGCATTCATGGTCATCCGGAAGAGTATCTTTACTGCGCAATATCGGCAGTTCTTTAGTCAACCGTCGAATCCACCGCGGAGATGGCTTGCCATTCTAAATATGATCTTCGCTATTGGTTGTCGATATCAGCATCTTGTGGATCACGCAGGGGGTGGGGATTTAGATGATGTCCTATACCTGAACCGCGCTAGGAAGTTGGCCTTGAGCGGAAATGTGCTGTTTGAACATGCAGATTTACAGCAAATCCAGGTGGAGTTTCTGGTGGCTTTGTACTTGCTGTCAATGGGTCAGGTTAATAGGTAAGTAGGAAGCCGACCTGTGAGGACACATCTCTCGATAGCAGTGTTGACACTTTTAGATCTTTCAAATTCTCGAGTATGGCACTTCGATCAGCTTTGTCACTTGGAATTAACCTTCGCTTGGTGGATGGTCGGACACACTACACGTCAAAAGAAGCACGAAGCCGCCTGTGGTGGTCTATTTATCTTCTTGAGCATCAGCTTACGTCCGTCACAGGCCGAGTCTCTTGCGTCAATGAGAACCTGAGCTCCACGCCTCTTCCAGTGCCATTTGAGGAGGATGCTTTCGGTAGACCGGAGGTTCTTTGTCTTTTCCAAGATCCATCCATGCGTGAAAGCCATTTAAAACTGACATTGCTCCAAACGGAAGAGGAGGCTCGGTCCAGCGCCGAATGGCTACTGACTTGCGAGCCCACCTCATCTCTGTTTTTCTACTGTCTGGTGGACCTCACGAGCATAACTCAGGCAGTGATGAACAAAGTTTACAGCATTCAAGCTTTACGCGAGCCTAGTGGTAGGATTCACCATCGCATACGAAAATACAGCAAGACCCTGGACACCTGGCTGTCCAAACTTCCTCAGGCTTTTCGATTTACGGAGTCACATAGCCAGCGATTTCAGGCACCAGCAGCTGATGATCCCTTCATGCAAGAACGAATATGCCTTGCCTTCAACTTTTACAGCTCCAAGATTACACTCTGCCGGCCATGCGTCACTCGTACCAATCTGAAAGGAAGCTCGTCGCAGTCAGCAAAGACCTCACACTCTGACCTCCGCAACGAGATGGCCCTCAGCTGTCTGCGCTCCGCCTCCTGCCTAACCTCCATTCTCCCCGAAAAACCGGATATTCACTGGTTGGCACGTGTGTCACCATGGTGGGCGATCCTCCATCATCTAATGCAAGCCAACACCGCTCTACTCCTCGGGCTCTCCTGCTGGTCCATCACCGACTTGCCCAAGACATCCATGCCTACAAACCCATCGACCCCACCTATCGACACTCAAACCATGCTTGCAGCATGTAAAAAGGTCACCCGCTGGCTCCACGCCATGAGCTACACCAACACAGCTGCTCGACGTGCGTTTCTCTTCTGCGATAGTTTCATCCGCCGTATAGCGCCAAGTCTGGGCCTTGATCTTGCCGGCCTCCCGGATGGAGCCACCTTGCCTTCCCCGAACGACTCCATTTGGATGATGGCGGATGGTCCGGAAGAAATGTATTAAGCGTTGTCTTCAGTGAGTTATTTGAATGTTGGAAAATGAACCCGTGTTTTGTTTGCGCGTATCGCGGTCGGTCATGACTTATGAAACCTGTTCACTAAATTGTAGACCTGGAACTAATATCAACGTTAAACCTGAGTCGACTACTAGATGTACCATATTACCAACTGTGTAGAAATGAGAATGATACCAAAAAATATAATTCCGAATCTCGCTGTCCCTATGGTAGGTACACAAACCGAATATGTCCCACACACACGCCCTCAGTCGAACCCTACAAACACACAATACATAGACAATGATAGTAAAGATCCACTTGAGGTAAATTCAACTAACAATAAACATAAATAGAACTAGCCAGTAAGTCAATATTCAACCAAGGCAAAACAGCTTAGAACAATGGGGAGGTTCAGGGCGGACAAGGTAAGCAGATACGTATAGCTGACGCTGAAGAACCAGAACCAGGTGGGGAAAACGGAAAAGAAACGATACGGAAAGAGAGAGGACAAACTCGTGGCGGGAAGGAAATTAACTCGTTAGCATTGATTGATGTGTGGGAGCATCGGCTTGATTGGTTGATAAAAATAAGAGATGAAACGAGACAAGAATATGAATATGAGTATGAATGAGATGGCCATCATCGTAGGTATGCTGAAAATGGAACAGATATAAACTAGAAACAAGAGATGAGAAGAAAGAAACAGGTGTTGCTCTGAGAACTGTCGACAAACGGATAAACAGATTATGAGATGCGAATAGCGATTATTTCCACGGGTCGAGGGCACGATTTACATCTGTGGCATGATATAGGCTCGTTTGCGTGGGTCATCGTCTAGAGATGGTGGTCCACGCTTTTGAGCTGGGTTTAGGGCCATTGCATCCGCTTGTGCATGCGGGTGCTGGTGCGCATGTTGCACGTGCTGTGCGTGCTGTGCATGCTGAGCTTGGGGATGCTGGTGCTGATGCACATGTGAAAGGGGATGCTGTTGATGCTGCTGTGGGTGCGGATGGTGCTGCGGGTGATGCTGATGGGCCATCTGGAGTTGGTGGTGGTGGGCGTGCAATTGGGGCTGAACCTGCATTGTTGATTGGGCTTGGATCGGAGGCTGAGCTTGCATCTGATTTTGGGTTGGTATCTGTGGTTGCACCTGCATTTGTGGTTGAGCGTGCAAATGAGGTTGAGCCTTTGCTTGAGTTTGCGGTTGTGGTTGCGGTTGCGGTTGCGGTTGCGGCTGTGGCTGTGGCTGGTGTTGGTGTTGGTGTTGATGATGTTGAACGTGGCCCTGGGCCTGTTGTAGCTGTGCTTGAGGTTGGGGTTGACCCTGGCCTGGTGTTGGAGGTTGCTGGCCTTGCGCTTTCGCTTGCGCTTCGGCTTCGGCGGCCGCCTGTCGAGCAGCGACATCGGCCTTACGAGGACGCCCACGAGGACGCCCCGTACCGGACGGTTTCGATGAAGCTGGTTTGCGGGGAGGCTTGGGCTTTGGCGGAGCATTGGGGTCAATTTCAGACTTGCGTGGGCGTCCGCGGCGTCTCTTTTGCGGTACTATGGTGCCGTCTGCATTAAGCGTGGTGCCAGGCGCGGCGGGAGGGGGTGCCTGGACCTGTGCTTGTACTCCTGGAGCTATGGCCGGCGCTGTAGCTGTAGCTTTGGCAGCCGAGGTAGGTGTCGCATTGTTGCCTTGCGCCGCGGCGGCGGCGGCTGCCGCTGCTTTGGATGGAGTCTTTCTAGGCTTCGGTGTCTTGCCTTCTTCTCCTGGGACTAAGGATTTCCGCGGGCGACCTCGTTTTTTAGGAGTCCCGGTATTGTCTGCCGACGCGGGCTTGTCCTGTGTTGGAGCTTGAGGTTGCCCCGGGGTTTGCTGGGCCTGCTGTTGCTGTTGCTGTTGCTGTTGCTGTTGCTGGGCCTGAGCATGAGCTTGAGCCTGAGCTTGTGCATGAGCTTGAGCCTGAGCTTGCGCTTGAGCCTGAGCTTGTGCCTTAGCCTGAGCCTGTGCTTGTGCTTGTGCTTGAGCCTTGGCCTGCGCTTGGGCCTGGGCCTGTGCTTGAGCTTGAGCCTGGGCATGAGCCTGAGTCTGAGCGTCTGTGGCGTATACCGCCGGCGGTTGACCATTCACTTGTTTCGCTGATATCGCAGGAGATACAGTCGCTTTGGTTTGCTTCGGACGTCGCTTGGTTTTAGTCTCTTCCGCCTCTGGCTCTTGGACTGAGAGTTCTGCACTTCCCCCTATGGTTGACGGCGTTGTCGACTGCGGTGGCCGTTGCTGGTGTTGTTGCGCTTGTTGCGCATACTGTGCTTGTTGCTGCGGCTGATATTGGCGCTGCTGATAAGCTTGTTGGAACGGGTGCTGCTGGGCCTGTGATTGATACGGCGAGCGCTGGGCCTGCTGCGATTGGTACCGAGCATGCTGCTGATAGGACTGCTGTGCTTGCTGTTGTGCTTGTTGCTGGACCTGTTGTGCCTGTTGAGCTTGCTGTTGTTGGAAAGTTTGCTGCACTTGCTGCTGGTAAGGCGACTGCTGCGCTTGTGCTTGATACTGAGGCTGGGCCTGAGCCTGTTGGTAGGGAGACTGCTGAGCTTGCTGATACTGTGCTTGCTGCTGCGGTTGATATTGAGCCTGTTGCGTTGCTTGATACTGCGCCTGCTGCTGTGCCGACTGGTACTGCGGCTGTTGCTGTTGGTACTGATGCTGCTGCTGGGGCTGGGCCGCGGCCAACATGGGCGACGCCGTCGTGGGAGTTTGCGCCGGGTGGGTATGCGTTGTCTGCCGGTGTTGATACTGCGCATGTTGCATGCGGTCCATCGACTGCTGCGGCGACGACAAACCCATGGCATGCGCGTGCGGCGACATGGCTGCCTGGGCGTTCATGGCCGCCGCGGGGTGCCCGCGAAAACTAGCCATGGGATTCATATTCCTCTGCAAGCTCTGCAGCGAGAGATAAGGGTCTTTTAATTGACTCACAGATTCGGCACCTCGAGACAGCAGATCGGATGAACCCTGGGGCGTGAAATGGCCAGGGAAGGAAGCGAAATTGCCGGCTGTGGGAATTCCCACTAGCGGCGCCGATGACGACGGAGTCATCTTGCGAAGATCTGGAGAATGAGCTGCCAAATCGGTTTGCTGTTGACCGCGCAGAAGGGAATTGTTCCCAGCGATACCACTGTTATGGTGTTGATGCGTGGCAGCCGCAGCCGCAGCAGCGGCCCCCATCGACGGGGACTGGAGATGTTGCTGTTGCTGAGGATGGGCATTCTGCTGAGCTTGCCGTTGCTGGTGAAATGAATGACCCCCATATCCCATCATCTTGACGGTGATATGAACCCAAGGAGGGTTGAGTGATTTCCGCGCGATCTATATGCCTTTCTTCTTTCTTTTTAGATGGACCGTCAGACTTTCAGATAGCAAACATGTGACCACCGCGTCCCGACGCGGTATGCACGGTGAACGGACTCTCCCAATCGGTAATTGACGGCTGGATAATTAAATTGAGATCCACCGAGATTCACAGGACGGGACCAGCTTGCAGCAATTGACCGAACTCTCCCAGAAAAAAAAAGAAAAACGCGCGCACCCAGAGCGCGTACCAGTTGGGAAGGAAGATTTGCCGTGGAGAGTCGGCAATTTGCACCTGCGAAAATGATATGGGGGATTGATTGGTGGCCTTAGGCTGAGAATCTACGGTAGACGGTTGGCTCCGTGGCGCAAGTTGTTGGGGAAGGCAGAAAAAAAGAAAAAGAAAAAGTAAAATTATTAGAAATTACCCCCCAAAATAATACAAGGGGAGAAAAACCCACTGCGCCCGAACCACCTGCGAAGGTGCCAAAGGAACAGAGGACGAGCACACGGTGATTCCCCAGGGAGAAATGGGATTCTTCCGACGTAAACTCGATGGAAATGTTCAGCTATACTGGAATCTGGGGAAGAGCCAAGCGGATGATTTGTTTGGGATCGCAAGATCACCGGCGTGGTTCTTTTTTCGCCCTTTTTTCGATTTTTTGGATTTTTGAATTTTGAATTTCGATTTTTAATTTTTAATTTTTTAGCTTCCCTCCACATCACGTGATGTATGGCCATGCTGGCCACTCATCGCTCAGCCACACCACTCGATGGACTGCGGTCACAACAAAAATACGAAAGGCGTGTGAGTTAAGGGCACGGAGGGAATACGCGAAATCTCGACCAGAAGAGGTGCTAGGGTCGAGGTGGATGTTTCTTTCTTCTTTTCTTTCTTTCGAAACAAAAAGATTCCCGGGCGCAGCAAAGGGTTGTGGTCTGCACTAAAGAATAAAGTCCTATGGGCTAAAAATCAAAA